GCTTGCTGAATTCTTATATCGGTGGGGAGGTCTCGGGATGCTACATCTGCATGCCTCACGAAAATATTTTGACTTTCGAGAATTGCAACATCTATGTTCATCTATCCTCTAACATTATTTCTTCTTACATTGAATATATCGATAATGTTGGCCAACATTGAGATCTGTTTTGTGTAGCGTCTGACCAAAGGCACTTGCAAAGTTGGTTTGCAAGCATGCTTTTTTTCTGTATCATGTGTTAAAAACTGCGCTTTTGATGGTGCTTGATTAACGGGTAAAGCTGATTTTTCATTGGCTTTAAAAATTGCATAAAGGCGGGCTTCTCCTTTGGGTGTGTTCATTCTTTTTCGAAGCGTGCTGCAAAGTCCTGTCATAGGAGCGCAGTGGGCGACAATGTCACATATTTGTGTTACACCGAATTGTGGAAAATCAGCCACTTTGCGCTGTCCCACTTGCATCCAACTAGGGATTACTGGCTCCTATTTCTGTACTAAAGTATCTGTTCCTAGAATTCACAATTTTATTACTGCAGGAATGCTTCAAGAAGTATTGGAAAACTCATAAAAACCTGCACCTTCTTGCAGGTTTGTTTCCTTTTCATGTTTTATGCGTATTCATAGAGGGGAAGTGTATGTTTCCTACCTCAGAATTGGACAGCATCTTCGATGGCTACCATTTTACCGGTCCACTTAGACCAGCTAAGAAAGTATGTTGCTTCATAGAAAAATGATTCACCCTTCCTTTTCAGACTCCATTTAGGACCGTTCCTGAGCATATTCCACGTCCTGATTATGCAGACACTGGAATTCCGGTATCGGAACGTGAGGCCAAGAGTTCCCACTCAATTATTGCACTCAACGAGGAGGAAATTGAGGGAATGCGCCTGACCGGAAGAGTAAGACAGCTCGGCTTAATCTCACACTTGTTTCAGTTGGCTCGTGAAGTTCTTGATGAGTCAATTGCAGCGGTTGAGGTCGGTGTTACAACCGATGAGATCGATCAAATTGTTCACGAGGCTTGCATAGATCGGGAGTGCTACCCGTCGCCTCTCAACTATTTTAACTTTCCCAAGTCCTGTTGCACGTAAGCTTGTCTCTCCTTCGGTCACTGGGCTCTGTTGCCTTTAGGTCGGTAAACGAGGTCATTTGTCATGGTATTCCTGATCAGCGGCCGCTTGCAGATGGTGACATTCTTAACAGTGAGTCCTTCAATTCCTTCTACTTCATCGCACTTTAAAACCGGAGTCATTTGTTTATTGACTATAAAGTTCAGTACAGATAACCGGCTTAAAATGTGCTTTGGATATTTTAACTCGAAATCGTGCAAATTAGAGCTATGGGTTAACGACATCACTGCATAGGGTAGGTTCATACAAAGTGGAGTAATTTTCAAGCAAATCAAATGCGTCATTATTTGAAAGGAGAAATTGCGTTTTTACCGAAATCCTGCTAAGTAAAACTTGACTTTTCATAACACGGTGGTCCCGTTAACGGTTTCTACTCTTGATCACTTTTGATGCCTAGTTGACATAACCACCTTCTTTGGTGGCTTCCATGGTGATGTCAACGAAACAGTCTTCGTGGGAACCCCCAATGAGAAAAGTATTCG